AATGTGGGAAGATTATTTTGTACAAATGGAAGTACAACCAAGCCTTAAATGATTGGACTAAATGCTTTGAGATGGATCAAAGGTTAGTATATATAATCACAAACACACTATATTTTGAATGTTTTCTATTTTGATGTAATCAAAGCTATAATGACTGAATTGTGATTTTTATATTCTGTATCTTTGCCTATCTGTAAAAAAAGGCCCATTGACCCTACTGGCGTTGCATGGCAAAACAGAAAATCCTGATTTGAATGAAATGTTTACTGATTTGAATGAGCGTTATTAGTAAAGGACCATGCTGAGCGCCATAACCGCTCCTGTGCTCTGTAGTGATTATGGTACCACCATTGTAAGTTGTTAAACTGTGTTTGAACAGTTTGACTTGCTATGTGAGGACTGCCACTAGACAGCCAGAAACTCGTTCTGAGCTAAACAGTGTGGTGCTAGGCTTAGCGCACCAGCTGAGAGTTATCAACTTTCATTCTCAGCCAATGTGCAATCTCTGCACTGTAGGACTTTGCTCAGGAGATCTAATGGTGGTCCTGCTTAGGACATTACAGATCTCCAGCAGAAGTAGTGCAGTTGGGGAGGAGCACTCAACAAACCTCAGGTAAGAAGTGAAGCTGCTCAAATGCTACTTTCAATTGTGTGTGTGTGTGTGTGTGAGTGTGGGGGGGGGATGCTCAGGCACTCCTGGGGCCATAACTATTACATAATGATGTAGTGAATATGGTGCTTGGAGTGTTCCTTATATCTTTGTCAATCAAGTGTATTGTAGCATGTCATCAGATATATATCTTTATATTTTGTCTCTGGATTGAATGGCCGAAGTAAGGTGTTTGAGTGTTTTTTTTTGTTTGTTTTTTTTTTGGTGTGTGCTTATTTTACATGCATAACCTATTGTTTAAATGGTTTTCTCAGTTTTATTATAGTTTTAACATTTTGTTTGCATTATGAATAAAATCCCAAAACAAGCTGCATCAGCACATCTTGGAAATCATTAGTGTGTAATTGAGATGTGTAGCCTAATGTGTTTAGAGTTCAAATTGATAAAGAGTATGCTGTTTAAATTATTGACAAGAGAGGGGATAAAATGTCATTAGTGTTGTTAATAACCTTGGCAATTCCGGCATATTTAATACCTGCAGGTTGTGACAAGTCAATTTCTCTCAGTTGGCAGTACTGAGATAAAGTACGCTAATTAGGTGAATGATGGCATTTGAGCCTTGCAGCCCAACTGAGTTTGACATTTTAATGTCACATGGATTCTTTCGCACTTTTTCTCTCACTCTCTCTCTACTACTATACTTATTCACACACACCTACTGTTAAGCCGTCAACGACAAGTTGTTTTTATGAATAAGCCTGTGTATGCGGCGTGTATCAGTGCTTGAGTGTGGAGTTAGAAATTCACTCCACAGCTAAAGTGTTTAGGTAGCTTTAGTCACATGATTTATCATATGATTAGGGGTGTGTGTGTGTATAAATATAGATATAGATTATACACCAAATAGATCAACCTTATGCACACCTAACAATTTGTACACTAGCATCAAACTGGTGGTTTCTTTTATGGTGATCATCTCATAAATGTGCAAATCTTTTTATGCGCCTAAACTCGCAAATTAATTTCTATAATGGTGCAGACTGCAACTGTTAATGTATATCAGTGTTAACAAAATAATACTGCAAAAGGATAGTCATAATGTCAGTGACATTAGCCTAAAATTGTACTAAACAAAAAACAACCAACATAAATCAAAAAAGTTAAACTCAAACAAAAATGCATTTGCTGACAATATGAGAACCAAGTACACAATGTACAAAATCTCTATACTGTTGTTCCTGGAATTCCTTCTGCCCTTTTCAAGGTCTCTTGAAATTCTAAGGATCTAAATATTCTTTTGCAGTAGTATATGGTTTGCATTTCTGTTTGTATTTAGGGAAATGCTGTGTGGAGGTTTCAGAATGCCTTATCTCAGGGTTAAGATTGTCTCTAAAATTTCTGGGTGGTATTTATTTTCACATAATATGCACTCCACTTTCCATGTTTATTATCATACAGTTTTATATCCTATATTTATGTGTGTAAAAATATATTTTCATCAAAATCTCACGTGCCACATTATATTTTTTGTAATACATCTTAAAATTATAAAACATGCTCTGTAAAATCTGTATTTCTATTATTTTTTTTAAATTATTTTTTTAAATTATTTTTTTTTACCAGTTATAGTCACACATTGGCTGTGAAACAACTTAGCTGGAGAAGTTGCACTGGTCGGGCTGGACATGAGGAGGACCAAGGAGAATGGCTGCAACTAGCGAGCTGTGGAGCCGATCATTGCCTTAAAATATTTGATGTTAACCGGAACGCTTTATGATGGCCAACATATACACAACTAAAGGGTCACCCACAATTTAAATTAAATACAGTTTGTAAAACAATGTAAAAAAAGTCTTTCTTGAAGGAAAACTATTGCTGGTATTGTAATGTTTGAACACAATATTATCCTCATATAAAGTAATATAGAGACATGAAAAGCAAAGAACGTGTAATTTTTAAATATCTCATCTCCATAACATTACATAAAATTGCAAACTCAAATAGCAGTTTTTTAGAACCCGCTTATAGTATGATTTTCTATACCTCGGCATACAGTTCCACCTTAATTTTTACACATTTGTGTTCATGTAATAGTGTTGTTTCTTATATGAAAATAAAGGAACCATGGTCTATTCTTGGCTTCAAAGAAGCTAGTTTCATTATGGCCACACCTGACATCCTCATTGGTATATTGCAAGATACAATTGTGCTATTTTATATATTATATATCACTATGTCTATTGAACGATAAGGTGAATGGAGACCCTATAAGACAGCCTTCCTTTATTCAAGAAGATATCGTGTTTTTCTGGTATGTGGAGTGGATGTATGTTAATGTGCTAAGAGGCAGTAGGCCATAATATAATATGTGGTTATCATTTTGGCTCATTTTTCATTTACTTTTCAGGAAGTATACATTACTTCTCTTTGTTAGAAAATAAATAAAACTGTTCATACCAATTACCCTTCTCTTTAACTCTTCATTACATTTTAATGGCATTGGGTTTTTTTTTTGTCAAGTTTATCATTTGACAGTGTACTGTCTGAGAAATGCAAAGTGCTATATTGAGCTGCAGATATTAGACTATGTTCTATTGAAAAGGTGGGGAAAAGCTTTACATATGACTTGATATTGAAATTGATTACATGTATTTTACAAATTTCCCGTTGCTTTAGAATAAAAATATGCGTAAACACTGTAAATTGAGTTGATGGATTGTCATTGCATAATTAGTGTCAGGTCCGCTGCTTGTGGCGTCCTTGCTTACCCAATCACCGCGAGCAATGTCTTCCGGTTCCTGTCCATGGCTTGCGGCTGTTCCTGCCACCGCTCCCCAGACTGACAATGTTTCTGGTGCTGCACACTCCAAGGCAGCTTCTTTATCTGTGCCGAACCCGGCCATGTGACCCGGCACAGAGTGATGACTTCAGAGATCACAAGAGAGGGAAGTCATCACTCCATGGGTTGTGATTAACACTAATTGGAGGTTAGCCAATCAGACACACCCTGTGTGTTTATAAGCTAACCTCCCCCTTGCCTCAGTGCCCTGTTGTGGTCTTTACTTAGCCCAATAGTGAGTTGTACATTGTCTAGATATCTTGGTTACCGATCTTTGGCTTGTCTTACGTTTAGTCTGTATTCTGTGCTCCCTGACCGCGGCTTGTCTCTTCATATTCCGTCTCTCTTTCCCTTTGACCTTGGGTTGTACTTTGACTATCCTTTTGCATAGCCTGGCCATTCTAAGGACCGGAATTGCAATTCTGTCTGTTGTGTCCTGTCTGTGAGTTAGGGTTCACTACCAATCATGACAATTAGTGCTCAAGGAAAATATGTACATAATCTCATAGCAAAAAAGATCACCTTGCACATGTCATATCATTCTGATATTTATTCAAATGCATGAGTAATATATAAACCAATAAAAGTTCTCCAGTGGGGTGTTTGTTTCTAATAGTAATGCCAGAATGGGGAGGGAAGATATTAGTTCATGCTCATACATGGATTTCTTATTATTGACCTTTCTCTGTAAAGCACGGCTTTGTGCAGCGCTAATATGCACCACATATAAATCCCATCACTTTTACAGGCTCTATTTTATAAAAAGCCCTTTAGAGCCAGGCACTGCAGACACTTCAAATAATGTAGATATGAGATTTTCATAGAAACCATTTAGTTCTAGATGATGCTTTTTAATATGTAATTTATGGTGCCGACATTCTGAAGCAGCAAACTGAAACATACACTGCCACATGTCCAAAATTTCTATAGTTATTCAAAGGAATCATCTGCATTAAATATTGCTGCCATTAGATTTAAGTGGTAAAATTATTAGCATGGTTTTACAGTTCCCATTAGACATATTACTAGGTTAATAAAGGCATGTGGTATGCTATGGATGTAATTTATCCTAAAGACTATGCTTTCATTTAAAAAGATCACCGCAGTGATATAGAACATGTCAGTTTTTTTTGTGGTCATTTACACTTAATTTGGCTTTATTAAATACCTTCATTAAACTATATTTTTGTGTTTTATTGTTTTAGTGTGTGTGTTTTAGAATTGTAGACTTTAGATGTTCAAATACTAATATTATCTACTTTCTATGGCACCCTTACTTTCTTGCCTAAACTGAGCTGCTTATTCTGTGTTCCAACTAAAATACTATGAAACGCTCGCCTTTCACCAAAACAGATAAAATATTGCAATTGTCCTTTGAGATATTAAGGTGGTTGGTATTACTGTCATAGTAATTTAGATCCAGTTGAGAACAAGAATCTTAATACAAAGAAACAAGTCCTGCGCTCAAACTCCCATTACTCCTGGGCGGCAGCAATGACCATAGTACACATCAGCCAAAATACATATAGTAAAAACCAAAGGAAAAATGTTACCTGCGCTCTTTCCACATCCCTATGTATTTTTAAACAAATGGAGGTTTTTAGTTACCTCCAATGGCCATGAGAGGGTATGCCCACCTGCTATTTGTTTAAAAATACATAGGGATGTGGAAAGAGCGCAGGTAACTTTTTTTCTTTGGTTTTTACTATATGTATGTTGGCTGATGTGTACTATGGTCGTTGCTGCCGCCCAGGAGTAATGGGAGTTTTAGCGCAGGACCTGTTTCTTTGCATTTGTATTCACTTTTGTATCACGCAGCTAGGTTACAATGCTGCTTCCCATCCCATGTGTTCCCTGTTAAGGGTTAATAAGCATGTAGGGATGTATATAAAAAATACCCCTTTCTGTCTCATTGGAGATATCTTTGCCAGAAGCTTAAGGAAGCAAGGTGAATGTTTAGAGTTACGACCCACCTAAGAAGTCTGTCTTGACGTGGCAGGTGGGCATACCCTCTCATGGCCATTAGAGGTAACTAAAAACCTCCATTTGTTTAAAAATACATAGGGATGTGAAAAGAGCGCAGGTAACTTTTTTCTTTGGTGAGAACAAGAATCTTCAGTTACATTTTCACGAACATGGTTTTACTATTAGTACACCAAATCAATAAAACACAAAATATCATGTCTTGAGTCTCTTGTAAGGAAAGATGGCAGTAGAGCCAGATGACATTTAGGACAAGAGAAACTAGATCATGATTGAGTATATAGTGTAGTATTTAAAAAAACAAAACAAAAAAAAACATTTTTTAATGGAGTATGGAAAGAAGAGATGCACTTACAGATAATGAAGCTGTCAATTAGTTCTGTTTGATGCGCTTGAGAAGTACAATATCCGCTTAAGGATTTGTAGTGTATCACTTGATCCAAGTGACTAGTCTAAAGCGTATGCAATAAAAACAAAATAGACACTATATAGTACAGTATGTCAGAGCAGTATAAGCTGGCAGAATAGTGCAAATTTATAAAAATCTACTAGCTCAAAAGTTAGGTTTTGCCCAATTCATTAAACTTCGTTGGTACATCCCCACCTAGGATGCCAAGACGTTAGTAGAATAATATATGATGGTCCAGGGATCCTGAAATAATGTCTTGTTGCTCTGCTTTATAAATCTTGCGCACAGCTTCTCATATATTGAGTAAATATCTTGAGTCTCATCAAGACATATTCATTGCTAAAGTTACTTTCTCCCATCTTTGAATGTTCTTCTCCAAGGAACAGACAGGGCAATTCACTAAACAAGGAATCACAGAGAATTGAGAGGGCAAATGCAAATTTTAGGCCAAAGAGCCAAGTAAAAAATATGTATAACTCTGTTATCTTGCAAGCTTTTCTATTTTATCCTAGAACTGGGGTAGGCAACCTTCAGAACTCCAGATGTTGTGGATTACGTCTCATATAATGCTCTAACAGCCATCATACTGGCAAAGCAACAGGGGAGATGTTGTCCATAACATCTGGAGTGCTCAAGGTTGCCTAACCCTGTTCTACAATGTGCTCTTCCTTTGACAGTTAAACCACAAATTAAGTCTTATCTCAGCATTGCTAGTTGTTTTTGTCATGTAACATGTAAGGTGTTTAGAAGCCCTCTTATACATCCATTGTGTTAACAGACGTTAACGTGCTTCATTTTAATTTTTTGGGGGGAAGGAAAAAGCAAATGCATATTGCACCACAGTTAAAATTTGTGTTTATTTAAAATTGCCCAGGTGTTTTCTAGACCCCATTAACCATTATTTTAGTTTGATTAATTAAACCTGTGTTTTCTTCTTATATTGGACCATATATTTCAGGGACTGACGTTTTTATAGAGATTTCAATTTTACGAAGCGAAGTAAATTGAACTTTCCAAGCTGTCTTAATATACTGTGTTGCCAAAAAAAAAAAAAAACACATGCTGAATTTATCGTACTTCATTTTGAATAACCCTAAAAACAATACATACAGATGTAATGTTGCATTAAGCAGTAATTTGAATTCAGATATGAAAGCACAATTAACAACATAACTGAATTTCTTGGATGCTCAGTCAATAAAATATGTCATGTGCTCACAAACCAAAATAATTGCATACTTCCTGTGTATAACATACCATTCTTCTTATGTAACTAAACATTAAAATGTTGCTTTTATTAAACAATATTTTTCATGTTTCATCAATCTTTCAGCAAATTTTTATCCTGAAACATTAATATGAAGTGTTATTCATATTCAACTTTAATTTTGTTGTATAAAAGTTGTTTTAATTTTTGGGCGAATCCTAAAGTGCCATCCTTTCGGCAAATTTATATAATGTCCTTTTCTCTTGCAATTTTCATCTTTGTAGCCTGTTAATATTTTTTTCAAGATATTCAAAAATAGCATTCAACATAAAGGTTTGATTTTTGTTTTTACCACCAAACTCCAAATTTGGACTTTCCTTAGTGAATTGAAAACAAAATTGTACGCAAGAATAGCAGGTTTCAAATAAATTCTTACATTCCACTACTAAAAGAATTTACCCACAACATTATTATTAGTAGAAAAAATAGGACAACATGCTTTTCTCTTCAAATCCCACTCCGATACCAAAAATGCATTATAATTATTTGAGCGATTAATCTTATTTCATGTATGTTTTTGATATCCAAAGGTAACATGCAAATTTGCATTACCTCTGTGAGTTGAAATATACCCTGTTCACCTCTGTCCTCTTCTGTGCAAAATTCATCCAAAGTGATAGGCTCTCAGGTCATGTTGTTATCTATGAGACATGTATATATGTAAGGTACCTATTTATATTCTCTTCCCAACTTGTAAAATTAAGGAGACTTGCAAGATGTCACAGGGGACATTATCACCACCTGTTTCCATAGAACCAGTTTAGGGAAAGATGCACTCTGTAATTATAGAAAGCTTTATCCACCACTATAGAAGCTAAAGTTGGTACATGTTAAATATGCACTACCTTGTAAATGGGTGGGGGGAAAGTATTTTTAGGTTTTTTTTAACTGAATTTTAAATATAGTTTCCATGTAAAATTTAAGAGTACGTTATTTGGAACAATTAAAATCATCTGACTTCAGTCATATGTAATAGCAATTTAGACTGTGATCATAGTAAATGCATTTAAAGACAATTATTACATGTAAAATAAGCTCAGATGTATAATTTTAGAAGTAAGGCAACTGATAAAGTACCATTCTAACAGTTTTTTACTTGCTTAAAAATAGGTTTTGCAATTTGATAACTCATGAAAGTGCTTAGAAAATACTTGTATTTTAATTGTTTTAGAAATGACTGTTTTCAATAAGCATTTATGTGAGTGCATAGTGATATTTAGAGTTTTATTTAATATTTTTAAAATTTATATTTCAAAATATGGTTTTAAAATTATAGCGCAGGGGTAGGCAACCTACGGCACTAGTGCCATGCACGGCACTCAAGGTGTCTATGCACGGCACTCAAGGCTGCTAGAGCCAAAAGGGCTCTGGCCCATCAGGAGTCCCATAATACAAACAGCCCACACACAAACATACACACAATCCCCACAAATGCAACACCACTAACAATCCACATACATGCACACAACCCCACATGCAGCCTCTCACATGCAATACCCCAAACAGCCAGGGCCAGTTTAACATAGGAGCTGATGGAGCTGCAGCTCTAGGCCCAGGCCCATGGAATAGGCCCATTTAAAAAAAAAAAAAAAACTTTTTTTTCTTTTTTTTTTACACACTACTCTTAGGTTTGCCACCTGACTGGTATTTTACTGGCACAGCCGGTATTTGAGCCTGCCTGACCGTGCCCTTATTGCAGTAATGTAAATGCAGGTATTTTTCTCAGTATAAAGGGAGATTACAATGCAATACCAGCACTGGCCGGTAGGGGTCACTGTGTGTGGACAGAGAAGCAGGGATAGGAATTTACAGCATATCCCAGCATATTTCTCTACTACTCACTGATCTGTGGGGGAGCACAGAGAGTCCAGACAGCAGCTCTACAGTTTAGGTAAGTGAGGGATAGGGGGAAAGACGACAGGGAGAGATGGGGACACAGTCACTAGAGGACACTGGGAGACCTGGGGACACTGGGTACAGTGAGACACTAGGGGACACGGTGATACATGGGGATGCTGTGAGACATAGGGACATTGGGAGACATTGGGACACGGAGACACTAGGGACACAGTGTCCCCATGTCCCCCAGCCAGTGGCCCTAGTGGCTGTGTCCTCATGGCTCCCAGTTTCCCCTAGTCTCCCAGTGTCTGTGTCCCCATGTCTATGTCCACAAGTGTCCCCATGTCTCCCAGTGTCCCCATGTCTATGTCCACAAGTGTGTCTCCCCGCCAGTGTCCCTATGTCTCCCAGTGTCCCCTAGTCTTCCAGTGTCTGTGTTCCTGTCTCTGTGTCCCTAATGTCTGTGTCCTTATGCCTCCCAATGTCTGTGTCCCCATGTCTCTTTGTCCCTAGTGTCTTAGTGTTCCTATTTCTATTATTGTCCCCATGCTCCCAGTGTCCCCATGTGTCTCAGTGTCCCTGGGTCTCTGTGTCCCCATGTCTCACTGTGTCCCCTAGTATCCTTGTGACATGGGGACCCTGGGAGACTAGGGGACTGGGCGACATGGGGACACTGTGATTCTTAGGGACACTGAGACACTGGGTGACTTGCGAGACTGAGACACAGGGAGACACTGGGAGCAATCCATCTATACAGCAGAATCAAACTGTGAGTAGTTGGTGATTTTACAGAAATGTCTCTTATGTCATTCCTTGTGATTTACATCATGTGATGTCACGCATAACTAATGCATGACATCACACTATTATACAAATAAGATTAAGAAATTACAAATAGATTAAGGCTGGTATTTTTTTCCAAGAAAGGGCCCTAATTACTCTTCACATACTCTTGCTTAAAGGAACACTATAGGGTCAGGAACACAATCATGTATTTCTGACCCTATTATGTAAAAACCACCATCTAGTCCCCCTGGCCCCCTCTTGCCTCCCTAAATATAATAAAATCTTACTTGTAGTCAAGTCTGCCGCTGCTGGCTCTGCCTCTGAACTGACTCTGTCTGCTGACATCATCAGAAGTGGTGGTCTGAGCAAATTACAATGCTTTCCCATAGGATTGGCTGATACTGTCAACTAGACAGATCAGGGGCAGAGCCAGCACAAGTCAAACATAGCCCTGGCCAATCAGCATCTCCTCATAAAGATAAATTGAATCAATGCATCTCTATGGGGAAAGTTGAGTCTGCATGCACAGAGGGTGGATACACTGAATGGCAGTGCTGCACATTAGGCAGTACTGCCCCAGGAAGCACCTATAGCAGCCATCTAAGGAGAGGCCAGTGGATTTATTTTCTCTGAAAAGACAGTGTTTACTGCAAAAAGCCTGAAGGGCTTACCAGAACAAATACAATAAGCTGTAGGCCAAAGAAGGAATAGTGGAGGTAGGTAAACCCCCCCCAGAGATTCCCTCAAAAAAGAAGGTTACAGGAGGTAATGGGGGCTTAACCCCAATTAAATAGAAAACAATGGCAGGAGAGAATAGGAAGAGAAATCCAATCCCCAAAGAAAAATGGGGCAGAGAACTGCCTTCACCATTCAAAGAATACCTCCTATTGTAAAAAACACATAAATGAGGGTATAACACCTTTATTAAGTATATAAAAAGATATAATAAATACTCAAATACTGCCAAATAAGTCTAATGGTAGTAGAGAAAAAGAGAATAAACAGACAGGTTGTCCCTATATAATAATACAGAGTATAATATAGGGGAGATGAATAGGTGAAGACTCGTCAAAGGATAACAGTATCGAAGGAGAGAGGGGTTGAAAACCTAAAGAATCAAGTAAGAATATAGTTCTGAATACTATATATAGGTTGCTTAAAGGACCCCTAAACACCACTGCTCCCACGGAACCTACACCATACATCTAATTGCTGCTATAAAGGCAGCCTATCTAAATCCCCTTAATATCTAGAATAAACTAGCATAGACTCTTAGGGACAACTCCAGGCTGGAAAGATAGATAGAAAACATAAGGTAAAGAGTGCTGCATAAAATATCTCCAAAAATCTGACTAGAGCTTGCCTAGAAAGGTAGTAAATAGCTTCAGCGTAAATCACTTCGGTTTTGGCTATCTAAACTCGCAACAGCAGATTAGCATCAACTGCAGCTGTCTACAGAGTATATGTAAATAACGATAGCTGTAACTGAAAATCTTAAGTCAAATGGTAGCATCCGCTAAAGCTAAATAGACTCAGCGTCTCAAAATAAAATGTGATCCGACTAGACCCTGCCTGGAAAAAGTAATGAAAATATAGCTGCAGTCAAAAGCTCAAGTAAACGTAAATAACTTCCGGTATAGCTATCTAAACTCACACTAGCAGATAGACATCGGCTAAAATTGTCAACGGAGTATGTATACAAAAAACGAAGGCTATAACTAGAACTAAAGTCTTAAATTAAATAATGGCATCCACTACAGCTAACTAAACTCGACGCGCGTTTCGGCGTTCTTAAACACGCCTTTATCAAGAGCAACTTGTTCAGTGATTAAAGGTTGCTTTATAAAGGGTGATAACCACTTCCTCAGAAATGACGTCCTCCAATCGGCAGGGTTCATCCGATCATCATGCCCGAAAAGGACCAATCAGAGAGAAGTGGGCGTGAAGCTCACGTGGTCACTAGAATTGCAACAAAAGGAAAGAAAGCGTCATAGTGACGAGTGTGGCTATTAAGCCAATTACGTAAACATTGTTACTAATGTGATCACCCCTTAATTGAGGGAAGAGGTTGCGATGTCGGAAATACCTAAACTCCGGCAAAAAATAATAACTAAATAAAATAAAACATTGTTACACTGTAGCAACTAAATAGTAACGCAGTTAGGTAATATGAACAACATTACCAAATTGTTCACACCACCTCTTATTATACTGATAGGAAAGAAATTTCCACGAGGCAACAAACAGATAAGACTGTCACAAAATAAAATAAAATTAATATAATGTTGCTCAGTGGAATACCCTGGACAGATATATTGACAAAACATAAAAATAGTTATAAAGATGAAATAAACAATCCAATAATAATCAAAAAAGATTATATTAAGAGTCCTATATATACTATTAACAGTATAAAAGAGGTGTTTGCAGGAAAGCAAAATATACTAGTAACAAACTGCAGATAAAAATGCTACAAAAAGATTTACAAATGCCGGAATATTTTTAAAGGGGACATCACCACCTCTATATACTCAATAAGTGGTTGTTTACAAAAAAGAGAATGTGTATAATGAAAAAAATCTTAAACAAAGCTGTTGCTATAAAGACAACCCCACACAAACAAATCTACAATAACCCTATAATGTGTAATAGAATAATCACATAAGGTAATTAATGAGCCGGTTAGCTAGATCAAAATACAGAAACAGGAATTGGTAAAAAGAATTAAAGGGTAATGGGAAAGTGTGGTCAAATGAACGGGGAAAAGGAAAAACCCTCATTGAGACCTTTCGGATGAAGGGTTTTCAATTTGTAGATCCATCTACATTCTTTTTGGCGCAGGATTTTATCAAAATCCCCCCGTCTTTGGTCACGTTTAACAAGTTCTAAACCACAAAACCGTATATCTTTAGACGAACCCCCATGATGTTCCTTTAGATGTCTTGAAATGGGGGTATCAAAACGGTTTTTGGGTGACCTGACATGTTCCTTAATATGTTCTTTAAAAGGACGGAACGTTTTACCCACATACAATGATTTACAACTGCAGGTAAGGAGATATACAACTCCTGTTGAGTTGCAGTTGAAGAAGTGGGTAATCTGGTAAGTGTGTTTACCTTCGGTGTCCGTAACTTCCTTTGAATTTCTAAGGATGTATCTACAAGCTACGCACCTTCCGCAACCATAGGTCCCCACAGGGATCTTTCGACCAAGCCAGGTCTTGTTAAGATGTTGCTTGGGGGCAAAATGACTAGGTACGAGGATGTCACGAAAGTTCTTGCCCCTCCTTGCTGTAATGGACACCTGTGGACCCAGAATCTCTTTTAAGTGATTGTCTTTAAGAAGAATGGGCCAAAACTTTTGCATAGAGCTTTTGACCTTATCCCAACCAGTGTCGAATGTACCAATCATCCGAATGGTTTTATTGGTAGGTTTGTCTGGTACTGGGAAGTCTGACAAAAGATCTAATCTGTCAGTAGTTAGTGCTCTCAAATATGCTCTCTTAAGGCATCTATTAGGATAACCCTTCTCCTTGAACTGTTGTCTCAAGACCTTAGCTTTAATTTGAAAATCCGCAAGATCTGTACAATTGCGTCGTAATCTAAGGTATTGCCCCGTAGGGATACCCTGCTTTAAAGATCTTGGATGGCAACTGTTCCATTTAAGGAGAGAATTGGATGCTGAAGGTTTCCTAAAGAGAGTTGTAGTTAGAGAGCCATCGCCAGAAATCGAGATTGTAAGGTCCAAAAAGTTCAGTGTAGAACCACCAAACTCTGCGGTGAATCTCAGGTTATCATCATTTACGTTAAGGAGGGACACAAAATCATCAAACTCCCTACGATTCCCCTGCCACATTAAAAAGACATCGGCGATGTATCTATACCAAACAATAATTTTGGATAAAAAAGGTGACAAAATAGTAGATGTCTTGATCTGTTCCTCCCACCACCCCAGATGAAGATTGGCGTATGACGGTGCACACGCAGTACCCATGGCTGTGCCACGTATCTGATGGTAGTATTTGTTATGGAACATAAAATAATTGTGGGACAGGATAAAGTTCAACAGCTTTAGGGTGAATAATGTATGAGCCTGATGTATCGGGCCCCTTTGGTCAAGAAAATATTTGACATGTTCAATGCCTCTCTGGTGTGGAATAGAGGAATATAGGGCCTCAACGTCAAGGCTACATAAACTCACTGTTGATTCAAGATGGATTTTAGAAAAGAAAGAAAGAGCCTGCTTAGTGTCTCTGATGTAAGAGGGGAGTTTTTCAACGAACGGTCTAAGAATTTGATCAATATAGAGGCTACCATTTTGGGTCAAATTATCAACTCCGGACACTATTGGTCGTCCCGGTGGGTCCACTAGGTCTTTGTGGACTTTTGGCAAGCAGTAGAAGGTTGCTACCCTTGGACATTTATTCAAAATGAAAAGGTATTCCTCATTCGAGAGCAACCCTCCACTGCGGCCTTCATCCAAAATGATCTTATACTCCTCTAAAAAAGAGTTAGTAGGATCAGAAGGGAGAATAGAGTAAGTATCAGCGTTCCCCAAAACTTTCAGCACCATGCTTACATATTTACACATATCCATAACCACAACGTTCCCTCCTTTGTCTGCCTGTTTTATAATTACTTGGTCATTCTCTCTTAAGGATTTTAAAGCAGTCTGTTCGTCCCTAGAGAGATTATCATTAGGAAAGGAGGAGAAATTTGCACTATCAATTTCTTCTAACTCGCTTTTGACAGCTTCAAGAAAAAGATCAATGTTTCTGAAAGAAGCAAAGTTAGGAGTGAAACGGCTTTTGGATTTCAAGTTCGTATAAGTAGTTGATAGTCGGGCGTCACTGTCATCAAGAAGAGAGATTAGATTGTCAAGGCAATCCATGTCTCTAGTAGAGAGACCTAGAGAAGATGCTTTCTTCTCTTTATTTATTTCATGAAATTTGTAAAGGGCAAGTTTCCGTACAAATAAATGTAGATCTTTTATCCATGTAAACCTATCAAAGGTTGGGGTAGGTACGAAAGACAAGCCTTTTTCCAAAATTTTAAGATGGAATTTGTCTAGTTGAAAAGAAGATAAATTAATCACTTGTAATTTTGGGATATTGCCTTGTTGTATATCAACTTCTGATTCTAATAACGTCTCTTTAGAAAACAGTTTCACCTCTCCAGATATTAATCAGTCTTTCAATTTAGTAACGAAACTCTATAAACAACAAATTAGGACCTGTTGGGAGGTGTCCTCTTTGGAAAATTATATTAAAAAAGATATGATACCAAGAGGGCTCCGTGTTAGAAATATACCAACAACTTATACAGATAATCCCGACTTCATGAAAGAATGGGAACTTTCTGCCAACACATGTTCTAAAAGGTTTATGGAGATCATCTGTACTTTTGAGAGATCAAAATTGGAAAACATAAATTTGAAACTTAGTGAGGAAATTGAGAAACTTGATGTGTTCAAAGGTGAATCCAGTTTCCTCTCTCTTGAAAGTAAGTTGAAACTGAATCTTGACCGATATCAAGATTCGATCAAATTTCGGAAACATCAGAAATTCATTAGAGACTCTAGGGACTATCAATCAGGGAACATTTACAATTTTCCAACCCGTCGTGTGAGACAAAATTCTGATAACTATATGACCTCAGACTATGAGTCCTCAGATACTGATTCCACCTCTACACCTCTAAATTCACAACCCCTACCCCCATCCCTACCTAGTACTAGTGCTCCACGTGGCATCTTGAAAAAAGGAGTTGATTTTTTAGAGATAGACCACCAGGAGACTTTTCCGAGTTATCAAACTCGCTATCAATCCAGGGATCAGGGAAAGGGAAGGAGGAGAGGAGGGAGGAAGAGACGTTATTAGAATCAGAAGTTGATATACAACAAGGCAATATCCCAAAATTACAAGTGATTAATTTATCTTCTTTTCAACTAGACAAATTCCATCTTAAAATTTTGGAAAAAGGCTTGTCTTTCGTACCTACCCCAACCTTTGATAGGTTTACATGGATAAAAGATCTACATTTATTTGTACGGAAACTTGCCCTTTTCAAATTTCATGAAATAAATAAAGAGAAGAAAGCATCTTCTCTAGGTCTCTCTACTAGAGACATGGATTGCCTTGACAATCTAATCTCTCTTCTTGATGACAGTGACGCCCGACTATCAACTACTTATACGAACTTGAAATCCAAAAGCCGTTTCACTCCTAACTTTGCTTCTTTCAGAAACATTGATCTTTTTCTTGAAGCTGTCAAAAGCGAGTTAGAAGAAATTGATAGTGCAAATTTCTCCTCCTTTCCTAATGATAATCTCTCTAGGGACGAACAGACTGCTTTAAAATCCTTAAGAGAGAATGACCAAGTAATTATAAAACAGGCAGACAAAGGAGGGAACGTTGTGGTTATGGATATGTGTAAATATGTAAGCATGGTGCTGAAAGTTTTGGGGAACGCTGATACTTACTCTATTCTCCCTTCTGATCCTACTAACTCTTTTTTAGAGGAGTATAAGATCATTTTGGATGAAGGCCGCAGTGGAGGGTTGCTCTCGAATGAGGAATACCTTTTCATTTTGAATAAATGTCCAAGGGTAGCAACCTTCTACTGCTTGCCAAAAGTCCACAAAGACCTAGTGGACCCACCGGGACGACCAATAGTGTCCGGAGTTGATAATTTGACCCAAAATGGTAGCCTCTATATTGATCAAATTCTTAGACCGTTCGTTGAAAAACTCCCCTCTTACATCAGAGACACTAAGCAGGCTCTTTCTTTCTTTTCTAAAATCCATCTTGAATCAACAGTGAGTTTATGTAGCCTTGACGTTGAGGCCCTATATTCCTCTATTCCACACCAGAGAGGCATTGAACATGTCAAATATTTTCTTGACCAAAGGGGCCCGATACATCAGGCTCATACATTATTCACCCTAAAGCTGTTGAACTTTATCCTGTCCCACAATTATTTTATGTTCCATAACAAATACTACCATCAGATACGTGGCACAGCCATGGGTACTGCGTGTGCACCGTCATACGCCAATCTTCATCTGGGGTGGTGGGAGGAACAGATCAAGACATCTACTATTTTGTCACCTTTTTTATCCAAAATTATTGTTTGGTATAGATACATCGCCGATGTCTTTTTAATGTGGCAGGGGAATCGTAGGGAGTTTGATGATTTTGTGTCCCTCCTTAACGTAAATGATGATAACCTGAGATTCACCGCAGAGTTTGGTGGTTCTACACTGAACTTTTTGGACCTTACAATCTCGATTTCTGGCGATGGCTCTCTAACTACAACTCTCTTTAGGAAACCTTCAGCATCCAATTCTCTCCTTAAATGGAACAGTTGCCATCCAAGATCTTTAAAGCAGGGTATCCCTACGGGGCAATACCTTAGATTACGACGCAATTGTACAGATCTTGCGGATTTTCAAATTAAAGCTAAGGTCTTGAGACAACAGTTCAAGGAGAAGGGTTATCCTAATAGATGCCTTAAGAGAGCATATTTGAGAGCACTAACTACTGACAGATTAGATCTTTTGTCAGACTTCCCAGTACCAGACAAACCTACCAATAAAACCATTCGGATGATTGGTACATTCGACACTGGTTGGGATAAGGTCAAAAGCTCTATGCAAAAGTTTTGGCCCATTCTTCTTAAAGACAATCACTTAAAAGAGATTCTGGGTCCACAGGTGTCCATTACAGCAAGGAGGGGCAAGAACTTTCGTGACATCCTCGTACCTAGTCATTTTGCCCCCAAGCAACATCTTAACAAGACCTGGCTTGGTCGAAAGATCCCTGTGGGGACCTATGGTTGCGGAAGGTGCGTAGCTTGTAGATACATCCTTAGAAATTCAAAGGAAGTTACGGACACCGAAGGTAAACACACTTACCAGATTACCCACTTCTTCAACTGCAACTCAACAGGAGTTGTATATCTCCTTACCTGCAGTTGTAAATCATTGTATGTGGGTAAAACGTTCCGTCCTTTTAAAGAACATATTAAGGAACATGTCAGGTCACCCAAAAACCGTTTTGATACCCCCATTTCAAGACATCTAAAGGAACATCATGGGGGTTCGTCTAAAGATATACGGTTTTGTGGTTTAGAACTTGTTAAACGTGACCAAAGACGGGGGGATTTTGATAAAATCC